TGGCACTTTCTATTGCACTTGCTGCTTGAGGGCCATGGCATTATGGGATTCGTTGACGGATCAAATTTGTGTCTTCCTCAGTATGCAGCAACCTCTGCACATTCAGTACTCCAAAATGGTTCCTCTGCTAGCCCTGAATCAGATGAGTTTAAAGCATGGAAAATGCACGATTATGCTTTGATGTTGCTCCTTACTGCAACACTTTCTTCATCCGCAATTTCCTGTGTGATTGGTAGCACAAGCTCTCGAGAGATGTGGGTTCGTCTCCAAAACCATTTTTTCTTACCAAGTACAAAAACCAGTATAATCCAGTTACAGACTTATCTTTACAACATGAAGAAAGGATCATATTCAGTTTCCCAGTTTCTTCAAAGAATTAAAGAAGCAAAGGATGGACTTTCTATTCTTGGTGTCACACTTGTTAATGAAGACTTTGTGCTCATTGCGTTGAATGGACTCCCTGCAACATACAACACATTTAAATGTGTAATCAAAGGGCGTGATGGTGTTATTTCACTCGAGAACTTTCGTCAACAATTGCTTGCTGAGGAAGCCATTGTGGATTGTGCTTCTGTGGCACCCTTTATGTCTACTGTAGTAACTAAATCTGGTGAGTGTAAGACACAAGGTCCTTTCTTCCTTCTCTCTAGCTCTCAGTTACATGATGGTTTCAATGATGGTTATCATGCTCAATACAATTTTAGTTCATGCCAATCACACTTAGGTAATAATGTTGATGGTTATAATGGTGTGTATAGAAATTTTCGATTCAAGAATCATGGTAAAGGGAGGTTCCATTACAATAATGGTGCAACCTACAAGTCTTTTCCTGAATTTTCACCTGGAATTCTTGGCTCACCGCCATCTTCATATTTTAATTCTCCACCACCTGATTTTCCTACACATCAAATTTGTCCACAGAAGGATCATTTTGATAATGATTGTTATCCTAGACATCATGATCAGTCTTCAGTTTCAACCCATGAATCATGTCAAAGCACATTGGATCAACAATTCAAACTAGGTTGTCCAGTCATCCTGCAAAACCATGAAACACCTTTACAGTGTAATTCTGATGTTGAAATTCATACGGTTTATGATTGCAAGTCTGGTTCTCTCTCTGACTTCATTGTTTCAGAAGATGCAATGTTTTTAGATGATGCCACAGCCCAAGTGTTGGAATGTATTGACAACGAAGGTACAGAATCTCAGTTGATTTCAATGGGTTTACAACCGGGTATTCAAGTGACATTTCCGGTTCTTGACTCTGACAACAAGACATACATTAGTGTTCCTGCTCAAACTGTTGCACTTGCACATAAGTTCAGAAGATTTTATGTATTTTGGTTATGCCATGGTGGATGTCAATTCGATATTCAGTTAGGCTATCATATGAGAATTTGTGACAAGGGTGGGGGCACCAGGTCTATGTTGATTTGGCTATGGTACACATGATATGGCAGTAATATACAAGCTCAAGATGCTAAGGGGGTTTTCTTATTGTAGAGACTTTGTGCAGCAGCAACCTCACTATCCAATTGCATGGAATATTGCACTAATGATTCTTTGAGAACCTGACTGCTTCAACCTCATGATTGGGTGCCCCAATCTTGAGTTTGAGGGGGGATGTTAGAGTATATAGGATATGGAGGGTGTGGATCATGACACATGTCGTTAGTTAAACAATTGAGGTAGTTAGGATTGTTGGAATTGTAAGATTCGGATAAGAAGATAAGATTGTGGCTTAATGAGTAAGATTTGTATAGAGTGAATATCCAACCATATAGAAATAGTATCTTTGTAATCAAATCATTCAAGCAAATACAAGTATAAAATTCTCTCTCTCTCTCTCTCTCTCTCTCTCTCTCTCTATCTCTCTCTAAATCTTCTCTGTTTCCTTCTTCTTCCTCTGCTATCTTGCTAATATTCTTTCCTGCATATTACTTAACAGATGGTACCTTGTCAAAGGGGGCGTTGGGGTGTGCAAAAGGTGTTGAAGCAAAATTAGGGGCCCCAAATTTTTTATCCTCCTATATATTACATATGGATATAAATTTTCTAATAAAAAAATTTTTGACTGAAAAAAAAAAGCATCATAATATGATTTTATTTATATTACAATTGATTAAGTGGAGCTTATACTAAATATATTAATTTTTCACTTTCTTTAGCAATAAAAAACTTGTATATTACTTTCTTCCACTTTTCTTTAGCAATTAAAAACTAATTTGTTTATTACTTTCTTTTACAAACAGAAGTGTATTTCCATACCTCTTTTTCAATCTTTCATGGATGAGCCATAAAGTATAATTTCATGGCAACTGTAAATTATTCAATTAATAAGAATGACATGCTAATCAATTAAGTTTGAATAATGAATATATTGTCTGAAAAATTATTATTTTTTAAATAAAGGAAGACCTTTTTATTAAATTCGCACATGACCTCTAAAATATAGACGACCATGTACCTTGTAAACTATTGATCTTTGAGTACATTCGACCAGTGACTTGCAAAGAGTCTGTACAAATCACATGGATCTAGTACGTTGGGTTTAATGTCCAGTCGCCTTGGCAGATATAATTCAAGTATTCAACTAACAAAAATCAATGAAATTTTAACCTGAAATGGTTCTTATTGCTCAGCATCCGGACGCTCCTATGCTTCTTCTTATTCATGTTTGCATGCGCATCTAATTACATCTGATACATCACAAGCTAGCAAGCTCAGTTCCTCAGCCTGTAATATACACACAGATATATATATATATATATATATATATATATATATATATATATATATATATATATATATATATATATATAGGGGTGTGCTATCCACACACCCCAAATTACTTCTCACACATCCTTATTAATTTTTATCCGTTGATCTTATTCAATTCATCCGATCCGACGGTCAAAAATTAGAAGGGTGTATGAGAAATAAAATGAGGTGTGTGGATATCACACCCCCATATATATACACACACTATCACTTTTTGTACTTGGCCATATGAGAATCCCCATTATTTGCTCCAAAGTACTCAACCAAACCAGTCTTTTTTTGCTTGCCCAGAAAATCTTTTTGAACCAGAACCTGCTGTTTATTACATAAAACAACTGTAACCAGCTGGGAAAATAAACTTTTTTTTTTCTATTGAACAATGCTTGGCTACTAAAAAAATAAATAGGAATTCATATTCAAAACTCATCGTGTTCAAATTAAAGAGCATTGTGCTTATGATCGATCAAAAACGCCTCATATTAATTATAAATCACATTGTAAAGATCATCTTTGCAAAAAAAATAAATTAAAACTAAGGTCATTTAATCTATTATAGCAAACACATAGATGGTTTGTGATGCTTTTATCAAATTCGCTCGGATGACTTCGATGACTGAACGACCTTAATTTTAATTAATTCTTTTGTAGAGGCGATCCTTGAGTAAAAATCCTACTCATCTTTTGAATAGCACAAGTTTATCTTTAACTTTCAGGCAAGGTAATATCCAGTATTAGTTTACATTTTATATACATAACAATACATGTACAGCAATATATAACCACTAGAAAATTGCCTGAACTGCTGTACAAGTCGTTCGAGTCTTTTAGCTAATAGCAGTATTATGAATATGATGGGGGGCCGCGTTTCCGAAGACGGATATTTGCAGACACAAAACAGACATAAAAAGGTTTAAGAAGAATTAAATAAAGGAATGCTAGACTAAATCTTGTAACCTAATGATATGAAAGTTGGTAATTTGATTATTACTTAATCGTTGATAAATGTGCTTATTTTCTATTGATGACACCTCATTTGGTTTGCTAATTTAGTTTACAAATTTAATCTCCCTAACATTACTCAATTAAATATTACGTGCAAGCAATATTAAAAGCAACGAGCAACCGATTGGCTCACACATGGAAAGAAACTGACTGAGATTTTAAGTTTAAATTACTGTATCAATTGCCTCAGATCTAAAACTCATATCTTATTAACATACATTACAAAAGATGTTAATTAAGATCCAGACCAAGCCCCTTAATTTATGTAGAAGAAAATTCAAGAACCAATGGTCAACTGGTCCTTATGTTTTTAACTTTTGTAACCCTAGCATCACGCATACAAGAAATTTTTAATTGTGACGGAACACGAGTGATACACCATGTGTTTTTATGCAAGTGATAGAAAGTTTTAATTTTTAAGTTATTAACCTTTTAACACATATAATTTACCATTAATATAAAAACACATGAAGTACCACCTTATATGACGGTCATACTGAATAATCTCTCCATGCATACAAGCTGCACACGGACACAAATTATAATTAATTAGCGATCACAACCTGATTAAATTAACAGTCGCGTGATCCATATGCGGGCTTTGAGTTGCATGGCAGCCGCGTATATATATATATATATATATATATTAAATAAAAAAGCGAAAAAGGATAGGAAAAAAATTAAGAAAGGATGAAAAGACAAAAGAAAAAAGGGTGATAATTATGAGAGAGTAGTAAGAAAGGAGGGAAAAGGTCCCATTTTATGCATGCAGAAAATTGATAGACAGGGTTAAAGGGCAAAGCTCACACCACAGGAGTCTGAAAATGTTTCGTAGTATCTGTTTGTAGTTGTTCTGAAAAGAAAAAAGGAGAACCCTTGAGTGAAACCCCAAATACTGCAATTTTTTCAGTGGTCCCAAAAACTTACCCCTCACTGACAACATATCGACGGACTCATTGATCGTTCGATCCAAGTGTTGGCGTATTTTTTTTAGCATTTCTTTTTTCACTAGATGTCTCTCCAAATGTAAAAGCTATGAACAGTAGAATCTGTGACTCCACTGCACTGCACTGCCCTACTCTCTGTGTTCTGTAGTCACTGAATTTACTTGACCACCTTCGCTCTCCCTCTCCCTCTCCCTCCCTCTCTCTCTCAACAAGTATTTTATTTTTTCAAAAAATAATTAAAATAAGTTATCAGAAAAGGTACGTACGTTAATTAAAGGATTGAACTGGCACTTCCAAGATTAAATGCATAGAACCTTGGCTTTTCACTGTATTGTTTGTTGTCTTCATCTTCTCACTCCCTCACTCTCTCACAAACAAGCTAGAGACAGTCACAGTCCCATCACTCACTATTAACTAAAACCCTAATTACTTAATTTTACCTAGCTAGCTAACTAATTCAAAAGTTAAACACCAAGTAAGTGTATTAATTAACTAATTAATAACCAAATCATCGTCATTGTTATCGTCCTCCTCGTCATCCACGTGATCTTCTTCTTCAGGCTCAGTACACAGCTCCACACCATAAGGTGCATGTCCATCACCAAACGCACGAACGTGGTCTTTGAGCGATCTCTTGTGCTTGAAATCCGACCCACAAATGCAAAACCAGAGCTTCCCGCAGTTCTTCTCGTGAGTCCTCCAATCGCCTCTCACTGCAAACGGCTTCCCGCACTTGCGGCACCCGAACGGCTTTGTCCCGTGCTTTCTCTTGTAATGTGTCTGCAGTGTCCTGAAGTCCTTGAGCGGCCTTGACCTCGGGTGTTCTATGTTGTTCTTGCACCCCTCTGCGCAGCAATAGCATGGAAGTCTCAGCACTGATGATGCTGGTTTTGTCCCTCTCAAAGACTCAGGTCCCTTCCTGTATTGTGATCCATGACCCCACATATGCATCTACATACAAATAATTAGAGGGTAAACACAAATTAAACAAAATACATATATTAGGGTGAAAATGTTTGATTGATGATTCAACTTTTTTTTTTTTTTTGGTGATTTTGAAATGCAAGATGACAATTTGTGAGCGGAAATAAACGGCAACAAAATTTCGGGAAAGAAAAAAAAGTGAAATAAACAAATTGTAACACAAGTGTTTGATTTAAAAAAAAAAATCTGTAAATCAGGGCAATATAGATATATGATTCCACTCATAATTCGTGATTTTTGGAGTGCTTGATGATGACAATTATGGGTGGAAATAAAGCAAAAATTGAAAAAAAAAAAGGGAGATATAATCAAATTTTTGTGCAAGTGTTTGACAAAATTGTGTTCCTAGAACACAAAAAATCATGAGGATCGCAGTAGAGAAACCAAAATACTGAAAATATACAAGAGGCAGTGTTAGTATTGAACTACTAGTAGTGGTATGGATTTGTGTGTTATTAATTATGATGATGATGAGTACTACCTGCATGTTGTTGTATCTGTTGAATGTTTTGCTGCAGACAGGGCAAGAGAACTGGGTGGGGCCTACGAGGATTTGTGCAGGGGAGGGAATCCAGTACTGGCCTTCCACAGGACCGCCAATGTGGTTGTGGTTAGGTTTGCTGATGGATGATGAGCTCGGTCTACCGCCTCCACCACTCGGTGGCTCAATGTTAAGAGCCACTGTGATAGTGCCGTCCTCGGGATCAGGATTAGGGTTTGAATAATCATGATAAAAAGTTCGATGGTGATCAGGTTGAGTTGAGGAAGAAGATTGGTTGTGGTAGATGAGGTGGTACTGTTTGGGGACATCCTGTCCAGGAGGACCAAGAGAAAGAAAAATGGAGTCCTCATCCTGAAAATCTTCGTCTATTGTAGTAGTAGTGAAGGGAGTTTGCATGGTGGTGGTGATTTTGTTTATTTGTTTATATGAGAGAGAGAAAGAGAGGGGTGAGATTTTGGGCTTTTGGTGGAGAAGGGAAGTGGGGGCTAGAGAGAGGCAATAAATAAAGAAACCATGTTTATTATGTATATACACTGCCAGAAAATCCAGCTCTGCCGACGAATTTTGAGCCAACAAAATTATTTTGTCGGCAAAAGAACTTTCACCTGACGAATTTTTTGCTTGCTCGGCTAAACACGCGCCAAGGCTAAAGTTTTGGCGCGAACTTTTTCCGACAACTTAATGTTATAGCCGATGAAATATTTTGTCGGCAAATAAGTTCTTAGCCGACAAACTTGCTTTCATTGGTTATAAATTTGGTGGGGTTTTTCCCCTTCTTGAAATTTCCCTTTTTTAGGTCGCACATTATATTAAAATTTAATACTTAATATGAAATCTATTTCAGGCTAGCACTCTTCAAATTCCTAAACCTAAACGATGGAATTCACTATTTCAGGCTCAGGATAATATCAATTTCAAATTAATCAAATTAGTGACATTGCAAGAGGAAGATAGAGAGACAAAGGTTAAATTTTTGTATGTAGCTGCAACACTTGTCACTGACGTGATGTAGTTTTCCACGTATTATTGGATTATTGGATGAGTGACGTAATTGATATGTCAACTTTCAAAGTATTACAATTTGAGTCCAACTATAGCATTATGCAACGGTGTTACTCGTACATTGAAAAATTGCTAGAGAGAGGGGAGTTTGCAAGTTGCACGTGGACTGCACTGGGTTGGATTGGAAAGCAGCAGGGAGGAAATAATATGAGATGAGATGTTTGGGTTTTGGCGTGTTTGGGAATGGAGGAGACAAAAACCGGCAAAGGAGGAGAGCAGTGGTAGTGGCAAAGAACACAAAAACACTACCACTCCATACTTTTTCCCCCATCACTTTTCTCCAAAACCCTAATGGTCGATTCCCGATACCTTAGCTTGGCTCTGTAATTTTCTTCTGCCTCTCTCTCTTTCTCTCTCTGTCCATTTATTTATGCATTATTCATCTTCTGCCCTTATATAATCTCTCTCTTTCTCTCTCAGTCCAAAAGTAGAGAGAGTTAAAAAGATAAATATATGGAAATGCACACATATATTGGCATACAGTATGCAAACATGGAGAACTGTAGACTGTGAAGGCGTGAGTTTATCTCCCCAACTTTTGTTATTAAAAGAGATGATGATAGTGATAGTGATAGTGATAGTGCCAAATAATACGAATATTATTAATTTTGGTGGAAAATGGAAAGGGTTACTACCATTTTAATTTTCAAAAAAAAATATATATATATATATATATATTTTTAAAGTATATACATAAAGTAAAATTTGGAAAATGAAAAATCTGTCATGGGTGGTACTGTTTTTCTTTAAGGGCAAGTCACCTGCACTGTAAGAAAGTAAAAAGAGCTCACTTGACACCCTACCCAGCTTCTTAAAAGTAACATTTCATTCAACTATAGTACTACTGGTTACTATGTTTATATACATTTTTCAATTAGAATCTCAGACAATATCCATGCACAAGTGCCATCGTGGTACATATATGTGCAAAATCTCAATGTTCAACAGAAAGTGAAGATATATGAGACAATTTTTTGTCTTGGCATCTCCAAACTCAGTGTGTCAACAGTTTGTTTCTCATTCCAACATGCTAGCTACTTTAAAAAAAGCTACGTTCACGGCCAACACCCCATTTATTTTCAGTCAAATTATTTGAGGGACACGGGTTTAATAAGCATTTCGTTCTTAGTTTGTAGTGTTTTATTTTTGTGCTGTAGGATTTTATTTTTATTTTTAAAAAACATGTAGAAAGAATGAGGAATAAAATGGTGTACGACATGAAAATAAAAATAAAAAACTAAAAAACAATTTTAAGTTATTTTCAATTTCAGCATATATATAGTTTCTACATTTGTCCCTTTCTTTCCCATCATCTCCCATTATTCTTTCCCATCACTCTATTTTCTCATATACTTTTCTTTTGTTTCGTAGAACAAAAATTCAAAACTAAAAACACAGTAATTACGAACTGACCTTATATGTTAATGTACCATATACGTATTGTTAGATGAAGTCAACACTTAGCTAATCTCTGTAAAACTTAGGAACTCAGGTGTTTCACTTTAATGCTAAGTGTTGACTTCGTCTAACACGTATCAATTTTTTGTACAAAACAATGAAGGGGCCAACCAGAACAATATTGGTGCAGCAGCAGTAACATAGTTTGATTGGATACCTCCCAAGACAGGAAGTTTAGATGGAGAGTAATTCAAACCATCCCATCAATCTTCAGACATGAAAGAAATTGACAAGAAAAAAAGATAAAAACACCCCGGATAGTAAAAAATAAGAGAGTTTTAACGAAAAACTTACGGTACTGTTCACTTTAATGAAAAATCAAATTTTTACACTAAAAAGTCAAACCTAAAACTATTCACTTTACCCTTTATTTTGTCATTATCATTAAAACTCAAAATTTTCAAGCCATTTTCATTAGTTTTCCTAAAAAAACAAATCCATCATCGTGCTACTTCCCGAAGCTCCATGATCAATCAGGGCCGATACTGAGATTTTGGAGACCCTGTACAAGACTCAAACAGAGGCCTTTACAAGGTCAAAATTTTGGTTGCTATATTTTCCTCAAACGGAGGCCCTTACAAGGTCTAAATTTTGGTTGCTATATTTTCTATTATATTTTATACTTTTTTCTTGTGTATAAATTGATATAAACGCAAAAGAAAATAAATAAAAAAGAAGTATGGTTTGGTGGCTATGTATCTACTTTCTTTATGTTTTTGGGTTTGAAACTTCTTACTTTTTAAATACAAAAAGCATGGTGTGGTGGCTATGTACATATCATATGACTGTACATATATCATAATCAGAACAACTCATACTCTTTATAATGAGCTAGGTAAACAAATAACTGGTTATGATATTTGTAGAATCTTATAATGAACTGTTAGTTTTTTTTATTGCATTTTTTCTCACTCCCTGAACTGAGGATGATTTTAACCACCACTCGGTTGATTGTCGTTAGATTAGTTAGAATTCGATATTCGTGTCTTAAATCAATTAAACAAAATTAATCTAACGGTAATCAATAGGGGATGGGCATCACCTGCTCACCTCCACTTTAGTGTTGTGAGCAAAGTTGTATTATATATGGATGACTAAATGGTCTTTAAATATGATGAAAATTAGATTATCCTTAAAAGCTAACCAAAAGAATAAACGAACGACATGTATTCGATTAAGTGATGTCATATATGAAAAGGGGTTTTAAAGATTATATCTTCAAACTTTTAAGGATTTTAATTAATTATGATATTCCTAATCATAGATTTATCATCAAAAGTTCTCTTTTATAATGATAGAAATTAAACTATAAATATTAAAGAGAAAAGAAAAAATTAATGTAGTTCAAAAAAGGCCCAAAATGGTTCTACTAGGAGTTGAACCTTTGCAAACACAAATTTAAGTACCAGTGCTTGACAATTCCCCTAAGGCAACAATGTGAACTATGTTCACACTTTTTTTATATGTAGTACATTATAAAGGTTATTAAAATTCAAGGGTCCCTAAAAATCGGGGACCCTGTGCGGTCGCACTCTTGGCACACCCTCAGGGCCGGCCCTGTGATCGATCCTTCCCGTCCACATAACCCCACGGCAAAGGACTGGCAAAAAAGGACCGGTAAAAAAAGTACTAGGTTTCCCTATAGCTCCACCTTTAATTTCTTATCAGGATTAAGAAACCCACTAGCACTGGATCCATGATCCTGAGATGACTAATCGATTGACAAAATTTGTGTGCTCGAAAACATGCATGCATGCATGGCTAGGCAAGCAGAGAGAGAGAGAGAGAGAGAGAGAGAGAGAGAGAGAGAGAGAGGCGTAGGAGTCCAAGCTAAATATATAGATCACTATTATTATATGTATGGTGCTTACTTTTGAACATGAACTTTGTTTTGGTGATTAATTGATGGTTCATCAGATACTTCTCTGAGACAAAGTTAAGTGCCTGCATGTGGGTTCGATTCGAATTACAGAAACTTCCCGTACCACTTTTAATCTTTGCCGTTTTGCCTTGTGATTTAACAAGATTAGTACAAAATGGATTTTGACTACCTATTAAGCCTATAATATGCTATTGCAAGTACATTCTTATAGATACCCATTTTCCTTTTCATAATACAAATGGAATCGTAGTTTTAAATACACCACTTCAGGTTCAAAGTTAAATGCTCTAAACCATTTTAGTTATAAGTCTCTTACAATTTCATAGTTTAGAAAGATAGTTATTATGGTGAATTAGCACCATAATATATCATTCGATTGCCTATTAATATGAACCAAATATTCAAATAAATATAAGGCAAAACAACATTTGCCTTCAATTAATATAGAAGTCATGAATGGTCTATCCTAATTCAGGGGAGAGATTCTCTCATATAAACAATAATTTTAGAGGCGTCATTGTCTCTAGTCCATGTAGAATTAAATCTTATGTATATCTATTGAATGGGATGTATGTCTATATATAGTAGTGGATGTAGTCGCTAGGAACGATTGTTGTTGAATGACATATACTAAGGAGTTAAAAAGACAAAGGTGTTGGTCACGCATCGCATTGCCTTGCAAAATATGTGTATGCGAGACTAGGAACGCAGGAAAGACAAAGTAAAAATTTCCAAAACCTTCGTCTTGTCTGAAAAAGGAAACTGGGAAAAGCCAACAGTGCCTATCTCATCAGACTTCATAGCCGCCCCCATTGATTTGTCACAGGTCCCAGCTGAGTGATGAGCTCCCACCCTCCCCTCTTTCTCTCCCTCCCTCTAGTAGTAACTACTGTTCAAGTCCAGTCCAAGCTCCATCCTTTCAGTATTCAAGATTTGATTTTTGACTCACCGCACACATGGATCTCTATGCGTTACTATGTATGTTTAAATTTGAAATTTCTGATCAGTAAATTCTTATTTTGAGCGTGTGAAAACAGATAAGAGCATCTCCAAAGCACTAGGCAAGGTAAATTGGATTTCCTACGCCACGTG